CCCCTCCACCCACCACGAGGCGCCCACCTCCACCCCCGACGACGAGACCTCCTCCCCCACCACCGCCACCGGCTCCCCGTCCCACCGAAGGCTACGTGTACAACAAGCCCAACTACCCCGCCCTCTCCCAGGATTTCGAAGACGACCAAAACCTTGCTGCTGGCGTCTCACGCCCCAAGCCACCGCCCACCACGCAACCACCGCCAACGAGACCAACACCGCCACCCAAGGTGAGTGGTCTTACACGTGCTCGCCTCGTACTCGTACTCGGCTCGCGCACTCTGTCATTGTTCTAACGGACCACCGATGTGTCTCTTGCAGAAGGGCTACGCGTACCCTGAGCCCGAGGACGAGTTCCAGCTGAGCCTCGCCGCCGGCCAGTCGGTGCAGCTGCAACAGCCTGCCAAGAAGCCCACCACGACCACCGAGGAGCCCAACCAGGAGGGTCTGCAACTGGACGCCGAGGCCCTGCAGATACTGCAGGTGAGCAGTGTTTGGGGGCTCTCCCGGGGATGTGGTGGTTGATCTTTAACCCCCGCCCCCGCCATCCTTCACGTCATTAACTGTTTCTCTCGCTCTCTTCCAGGAACAGAACGAGGACGGCCAGTACCACCCCGACGCAGACCACACCCACTGGGACATCCGCAAGTCCATCCCCGGCGACCCCGGCAAGGACTACCCCACGCTGCCCGCCATCCCCGAGACCGGCTTCTCCTGTGACGGCCGCCCCGATGGTATGTCGTCCCCCTCCCCTCAACGCAACCGCATGTTCTCCCTCCCTTAATCATCTATACAACGATCGTGTGCTTTCAGGTTATTATGCCGACGTCGAGACTGGCTGCCAGGTCTACCACGTCTGCGCCTCGCAGGCCATCCCCGTCAAGAACTCGTTCCTCTGCAACAACGGATCCATCTTTAACCAGGAGCGCTTCGTTTGCGACTGGTGGCCCAACGTGGACTGCCCGAACTCCGAGCGCTCCTTCGACCTCAACCTGGAGATCGGGAAGACGCCCAACTCGATTGCGTCTGACGGTAGTTCGTCCAAGTCATACTCGGGCTCCTACAACGCCGGGAGCGCGGCCAGCTCCGGCTCTGCTGGCAAGTCGACCTTCTCGTCTGGTGGTTCCTACAACGCCGCCAGCTCGTCCAGCTCTGCTGCTGCTGCCCCTTCTAGCAGCGTCTCTGGCTCCGGAGGCAGCTTCGGCTCTGGCGGCAAGTCGTCCTTTTCATCTGGAGGCTCGTACAACGCCGGCAGCGCTTCCCCCATCACCTTCCCGTCGACGGTGCTGAGCATCGACAGCGGCAGCCCCCTCAAGACCGGCTCGTCAGCGGTGCCCTCGGGCTCCGGGGCGTCCTTCTCGTCGTCGGGTAACGCCGTGCAGCAGGACAACGAGCCGAGCATAGCCTCGTCGCTCTCCGGCGCGGCCTTCGGCTCGTCCTTCTCGGCCTCGGGCAGCGGCGCGCAGCAGGACAGCGAGCCCAGCATAGCCGCGTCGCTCTCCGGGACGGGCTTCGGCTCGTCCTCATCGTCTGCGGACGCCGATGAACAGTCCCTGGCCTCTGTCTTCGGCGAGCTGCGTGGCAGCTCTGCGTCCTCGTCGCAGTCCTCCCGGACGGAGGGCAACGCGCTGTCGTACCCGGGGCCGTCGGCGGGCTTCTCGCCGGACATCGCGACGGGCGGCATCGACCTGCGCGTCGGCTTCAGCTCCTCCGGGTCCGGGTCGTCGTCGGGGAAGGCCCGGAGGCTCAGCCCCGAGGCCACGTCCTCGCTGAGGGCGTCCTTCGCCCGCAGCAGCAGGCAGAACAACGGCGGCGAGGCGCTGGAGACCGCGAGCAGCGGCCAGGGCGTGGTGGCGTTCGGCGAGCGGCTCGGGTCGCGAGTGTCCAACTCGGCCGTTAGCACCGGCCCCGCCAAGGACCTGGAGGCCCCCGCGCACGCGCCCGCGCACCCGCCCACCTACAAGCGCAAGCGGCTCGTGGCCAGGAGGCGCAGGGTGCCGTCGCACGAGGCTAACCGAGGCACCGCGTGAGGCCTTCGTGATACAAGCGCTGCCGGGCTGCGTCGGGCAACATTCTCAGTTTACCCGAATTCAACCCGAAACTTAGGTACCGATTTTGAAGGCGTTCTGTTTTAGACAAAAGGTGTCAAAAGTAAAAAAAAAAAAATCTGAAAGAACGTCCTATTCCACAGAATATCCCGCTCTTCTATAGCTCAAATTTGCGCTAGTGTGATTTAGTTCGCTTCCGAATTAGGTGTACTTTAAAAAACGGGTGGAGTTGATCGGAAGAAATTAGTCCTGTAACGTACGTTGAATAGTCTGCAAGTTTTGTTACCTCAAGTATACATTAATTATCGTCGTCAGTATTACAGTTAAAGACACGTTCACATGCAGAAAAGACGCGATTAGGTAGTTTGTGTAGTGGAAAACTGAATACGTAACTTAGAAACCATGCCCATGAGACGTGGTGATGCTGAAAGAAGTGGTGCCATTTGTTAAAATTAGTGATAGATTCGGGTTATTAAATTAGTTGATTTCCCGTGCGTGATAAGAAATCCGTCGTAAGCGAAAATCAAATTTGTCAATGGAAGAACAGTTTTGGTGAATGTCCTCAAGGTGACGGGACGAATTACTTTACAATTGGAGGAAAAATGTGTCACCATCGTACAAAATTCGATAAGAAATTATAGGTATTGTTAGATGACTAAGACTTTACCAGAACACCTAAGTTAAATGTAGTTTAGGTAAACTTATTGCTAAGTTAATTTTTAGTGCAGCATGCATGATTGTACTTGTACGTGAGTGTCTGCAGACTGTCTACTTTGTTGTTATTTTTATAAGAAATATAGGTTTTAAGAAAATAAAGTCTTACTTTTTCTATAAGGGTAACTTTTATTATACAAGACTTGAACACTCGACTCGAGATTTTTAACAAAATGAGAATTATCGAAACGAGACTAATTACAAATCACACTGTGAAGTCACAAAGGGATTCGATGCAAAGCAGAGGAGAGGGAGATCATATTGCCGTGCAAAAGAAGCATGCACTATGGTCTGTCATCACTCGAGCCGAAAGCATCGTTTTCCTCAATAGAACAATAAAACTAAGCCAAAAACTTTTCTCCTTACTAGCAATATTTTCCGAAAAATGACGGAGCTGGCTCACAAATTATGCATGAGCCAAGTTCGTTTTCGTGAGTTAAGGGTTTGGCACGGGCTTCTATATGGTCTGATCATGTAACTACACTTGTTCAAATAAGATCAAAATCACATTCACGACGCGACAAAACGTCGCACATCACACGGACAGAAAGAGAGACACGTAATAAAAGGCATCAGCGAAGGGACAAAAGGTTGATAAGGATGAATTGAATGTAGACTGTATTCACTCCTCCAAAGTTTGATTGATTAATCGCTACGGTATTTAAAAAAGGGGGCAAAGCGTTTGGTTGGAGTAAAGCCCTGCGCTGAGCTAGGCGCAGTCCACCAGCAACTCGGCGCTGCCGATCTGATCGTCATCGCAGTCCTCGTCGCCGTCGCCCTCCCCGTCGCTGTCGCCGTCACCGGGCTCGCCCAGGGCGTGGACAAACTCTGCGGGTAAACATACATACAAACAAACGGCGTACAGTCTAATTGCACTACATCACTTCTGAAGGGGACCGTGCACACAGCATCGGCCACATGGACTCCTACCGTAAAAGTCGATGCGGCCGTCACCATCCACGTCCACCTCCTTGATCATGTCCTCGACTGCAACACAAAGCGTCATAGTCAGTCGGGTGGCCGGTGGCCGCGCGCGGCGCGGGCTGCGGTGGCGGCCGGCGCAGGCGACGGTAACCGCACGACACTCACTCTCCTCCTCCGACAGGTCCTCCCCGAGGCACTGCAGCACGGCGCGAAGGTCCGAGGCCACGATGTAGCCGCGATTGTGCTTGTCGAACACCTATGGAAAAGGGAGAGAGAGAGGCCCGGCAAAATGTCAGAATCGGCCGTTTTGCGTCGCTATTCTCCGCGTTCATGTTCAACCCCGCCCGCCTTGGCACGGATAGTCTCTGGTGCGCGCGCAAATGAGCTGGCAATACTTCGTTACGCGGTGACGGGGAGCGTTAACTCTACATATATATCTGTTTTGGCCGAGGCCGCTGCTTGTTGCTTTACCCGGAACGCGTCGCGGAGCTCCTTCTCCTCCTGGTCCGCCGTGGGCGCGCTGTCGCTGCTGTTGGCCCCCATGTTGGACACGATCTCCACAAACTCCTCGAAGCTGAAGGACCCGTCACCTGAAGGCAGAAGATAAATATCGGTCAATCGATTCACACACGTGAACACCGCCACCGCCCCCACCCCCTTTTCCACACAAAAAAAAGTACAGTCGAAACGCCTGGTGGGTAGGCCGTCCCGTCGGACGAGTGAGCCCCGCAGGGTTGCCTATGCGCCACTTCGCAGGCGTTTTAGGCCGCATTCATTGGGAGCGCCATCCGTGCAGCCTTTTTTTGTTTTTTGCATTTTTGTGTCCCATTCGACGGCTTTAGGGAAAAGGACATGTGGGTCCCGGGTCCCTCCTTGTGGCCAACGGTCGACCGCCAAGGTCGAGGTCAACGCCACCGCGCGCGGCCTCTCCGCGGGAGGCGAGAGGGAGAAGGGCGCGGGGAAGTAGTTGGTGGTCAGAGTGGACACCCGCGAGTCGTCTGCCGAATTACATCCAACTGCACTTGACCACCCCGGGTTTAATCCCACGCCCCCTCCCCCCTCCCACCACAGCCGTTTCCCGTTACCGTTACCGCACTGCCGCCCGTGGCCCGCGACCTTGGCAAGACAGACGGACGAACAAACGGGGACGAACAGGACCGGCCGACAAGCGGGCTGACGGACGGACGGACAGGGGGGGTCACGGGGTCAGCGGGCGGCGGCCCCCCATCCCCCATGACCGGTCCGTTTCGCAACGAGTTCGTCGTGATTGATTAACAAACCAAATCGAGCGCGTCCTGCTGCTGTCATCCGGCGCGGTCAGGTGTGGGGTGGTGTGAGAAATGTGGGAGCCGGAGCCGGAGGTGTGGCGCGCGCGAGCGAGGGGTACTTCACGTGCACGTTCAGGCGTACGCACCACCAATTTTATTTTCTGTTTTTCTTGATTTTTTCTTGATTTTTTCTGATTTTTTTTCTTTTTGTTTTATTGTTGTTATTCTTGTTTTTCTTTAAGGCTGTTCACTGATTATTTTTTGGAGTGTATGAAGTATCCGTCCTCGCGCTCGGGGCCACCGCCCGTCGGATGCGGGGTAGGCTGCCCGACGGGCGCGCGCGGCCGTTGGGCTGCCCCCTCGGCGCACGGCGGGCGCGCGGCGGGCGGACACAGCCGCACTCACCGTTGATGTCCACCTCGCGGCGGAGCATGTCCTGGAGCCCCTCCTCGCACACTCACCGTCGATGTCCACCTCGCCGAGCATGTCCAGGAGCTCCTCCTCGTACACTCACCGTCAATGTCCACCTCGCGGAGCATGTCCTGGAGCTCCTCCTCGCGCGCGAACTGGCCCAGCGAGCGCATGACGCGGCCCAGCTCCTCCTGCGTGATGCTGCCGTCGCCGTCCTTGTCGAAGAGACTGAACGCCTCGCGGAACTCTGGGCGAGAAAGGAAGCGGCAGTTTTAAAAGTAACACAGTTACTTACTGCGCCTATTTTTATTTTCATTTTTCTTCCACAGTCTCCGGTCTGGACTCTTACCTTTCATCTGCGCCTTGGAGATGAGCGGCCCGTCCTTGGTCACCCCGGCCACCCGCGTCGCTCCGACCCCGACCATCGGAGGGGTGTTACCTGCAGGATGAAAAAAGGTCATAATCTCATTTTTGGAAAAAGAGGGAGAAAATAAAGAAGGGAAATTGCGTCGTGGGGTATTGGCTGCTCGTCATGCTCACCCTCTCGGTACCAGCCGTCGCCGGGCTGCCATGGTGGTGGAGAGGCCGGGCCGGCCCTGGCCTCAGGCTGGTGCTGGTGGCTGCCGCTGGGGGAACCTCCCGTCTGCCTCGACTGAAACAGCGGGCACAAGAGGAGAATTAGGATGCAAATGGGCTCGGCTCAGTGAGCGGGAGGAGGGAGGGGGGTCTCTGGGGGGAGCGGGACGGCTGCGCACCAAAAGGCTCTCTGAGGCGGCGCGCCCCCAGTCATGCTCCTGCGTCCTCCTGCTGCTGGACCGCACTTTTATTTACGTGACATTCTCGGGAAAGTACGGGGTGGTCGTCGAAAAAATGATTTGACCGCTTCTTTCCCTCTCCCTCTTTCTCTTTCGCTTGTCGCTTTGGGGCTCAGGAAACCCCCAGTTCACGCGACTTGTCCAGCGGGCTGGGTGTGACGTACGACCCGGGGGTGGCGGAGCGCGACATCGAGGTCAGGCGGGGGCACGCCGCCGCTCGCACGACACCCTGCCGGACCGCAGCTGGGCTCCCTCCCCCCTTCCTCCTTCCCCCTTGCACCCCCCGCCGCCTCAACTGGTCGACTTACACCCACTGCTGCGACGTACTCTTTCC